CACGATAACTCAAGAAATACCAAACATATCCGTACGAAATTTTGTGAGTGCATTTCCCATCGGCTAAGGAAGAACTGATTAAAATTTGGTTGAATTTGCATGGTTAAAAATTGAATGAGAAATAACAAAAGTTTGTCTTGCTTTTCCCGGTCAATTAAATAAAACTTTATACTGAATGCGTAATTAGGACGTGCATAATATATGCACCAGCCATTCAAATTCTAATAACAATAGATTACTTATTATAGATTACTTTTTTTCAATATTTTGCGCGTAGGCGGAGGTATGCAGTCTCTGAGTGCCCTCCAGTTTAGTTATGTAATGATTGTAAGCACATTGTAATTCAATTTTTTGTGATAGTGTGCCATTAAAAAACGAAAAAACGAAAACGTAATATGCGTAATCAGATATTCCTAGAAATTGCTGTATACAGAAATATATTCCAGGAACTGTCATGTTTATTTTTCAGCAAATGAAGAAGACATAGCCTTTCACCTTAGTTCAAACACAGTCCCAGAGAATGTCACATATGGCACAATAAATATTGGCCACCTTTCTCGCAGACCACTTCTGCAACACGAACGGATCAGCTATCACATCCTTGAAGTCACGAACAGAACACAGCCATTTGAAATTGATCAGAATATTTTGAAAGTAAAACTTGATAGTACTTTGGATTATGAACTACTTCCAGCAGACAAGAGTATGCCTATCACCATCAGTAGTGTGGCTTCATTATCAGGGGTTTTAACAAAACGATTCCTGATTAAGATTTTAGGTAAGATATATTCCTGCCTGTGTCCTGGTCTCAAGCGAAATTATCCCTTTGTCTTATGTCAGTTTAGTTGACCTAGAGCCATTGATTTAATCGTAATATTGTTCCCTACAGATGTGAATGAAATGCCAACAGCAATCTGCCTGACGAGTCCGCAACCCTTTGATGACTGTTCAGTGGTTGGTCACATTTTAATAGAAGACTTGGATTATCCCACACTGAAATGTGGGAGTAGCAAGACTAATGATTTGGAGAAATATTCAAGCCAATTATCAGAATACAGATGTCATATCCAGAAAGGCACGGAAACTTTACGCAATAAAGTAATGGTGAATGAACATTTTTATATTCAACACTCGCCACCAATATTATATGTGAAAAAGACTATATTCACTCATGGAGATGCATCTTATGATGTCCCTATTGTATGCCGAAGTACCAAACATCCCCTACATATCTTCTCTAAAACGTTAAATGTGAATATCAAAGGTAAGCAGTCAAAACGCTACTTAGAAACATTCAACACTGGTAGGCAACCTTGCAAAGCCAGGGCCTTTTACCTGCGCTTGGGCTACAGCAAAGAGCCTGGTTTACTCTGGTCACGTGAACCCCCAGATTTTAGGGGTAATTCGAATTGCCGCTTCTTTGCCACTTAGGGAGGAGTGGTAGGGGGAATTGCCACAAAAAGCCAGGAATGGCCAAAAGCGAAAATGAAAACATCTATACTATGCATGCCTAGGGAGAACACGGCCATTTACTCTCTGTTTTAACCCATATTTTGGGTTTTGTCGGTTTTTGTGTTATCTTTAATGAAATATGTCACCGCTTGAAAGCTTTTTACACCTCAGTATTTGATATAATTTGCATGGTTGGAGGTCTGTTTTACACCTTGAAGTGGAGCCGTTTATTTACCAAGGCAAAGAAAATAATGGTCGAATGCACACTTATACAAACATTCAGTAGCTCTCAAGCTAGTGGCACAGCAAAAGGAAACTCCAAAGATGATTTATTCGAAATCCTTTTTGTTTTCGGAATGCAAGTGTCGCTTTCGTGGTATTATTTTGTTGACGAGAAGTATTGCAAAAACCTATTTCTTAAGCTGGCGAAATAAAAACATGCTTCGTATCGCAGAAAATGTAAATGCGTGTGATGACAGACTTTCGAATCTTCCTAAATTAACATTAAATTAAAATGCGTAGTAGCGAAGTAGCGAAGTAGTTGTAGTTCGCTACTGTAGCGAACTACAATTTTCAAGTAGCCAGTCGTTTTTGACTATACCTTTTTAAAACAGTAGCTTTAGTTATAGCGAACTACATTTTGCCTAAAAGTAGCCGAGTAGTTGATTACTTTTCAAACAGCGAATCGCTATTTGCTACTTTTTAACAGCGAATCGCTATTCGCTACTAATTGTTAGCAACTTGATAGAATAGCACGATATTGAGACACGGTTTGCTTAAAATCAATGCTCGATAGTGAATTTGCACTCCTGAATACTGTAGTGCTTACAAATATGTTGCTTTGTGTTTACTGTTGCTACTCGTAAATCGATTTGTTATAGGTTACATTACAGCCTGAGTTAGTAGATGCTCCAAATACAGTAAAACTAAAAAGTTTAGCATAGCAAAATTGCGAAATAGTTCGCTACATTTTTTAAGCAGTAGCTGTAGTCAGTGGCGAACTACTTTGTTCAAAAGTAGCAGTAGTTGTAGCTGACTACATATTTTTGACGGAGCTGTAGTTATAGCGAACTACAAATATTTTGTAGTCAATCGAATGGTTAAGTAGAGCGACTGGAGGGATTGCAGAAATGATAAACAACTTCGACATAGCTGTTGGAATTAAGTCAAGAAGGTGTCCTCTCACAAGCATAAATCTTCAGAGAAATTGAAAACATTTTATCTGATCTCTTGGAATTGAAACCATTAAATAGGAACAACAAGAGGGCACTCAGAGACTGCATACCTCCGCCCACATTAAATTTCGGTCGTGTGAAATGGAACTAAGACAATAGATAATTAGGGCTGAAGCTTAATGAGGTTTATCATCTCATTGTCTTCTTAGTCCTGCGTGCATACATTATAGACGTCCTAATTACGCATTCAGTGAGTTTTTTTTAATTGACCGGGAAAAGCAAGACAAAATTTTGTTCATTTCTCGTTCAATTTTTAACCAAATTCAACCAAATTTTAATCAGTTCTTCCTTAGCCGATGGGAAATGCATTCAAAAAATTTCGTATGAATATGTTTGGTATTTCTTGAGTTATCGTGCTCACAGACAAACACACACACATACACACACACACACACACATACACACACACACACACACACACACACACACACACATTCACACATACAAACCCAGATGATTACATAACCTCCTGGCGGAGGTAGTGAACATTTTCATGAAGGTTTCACAGATATATGATCATCAGATTCATTAGCAACATTAGATATAATGCCGTGACACCACCAGTGGACACATCAGAAGATGAAGAGGAACTATGACTATGAATACTAAAAACGTTCTTATTTTAACACATCAATATAGCCTCATGGGAATACAAATTAAATTAGTATTTATAATATATTTGAGGTGCTAAACTTTTTCAAAACTATCATTATTCCCATTAGTTATTTAGCAATCATATATTATTGTACATCTAAATATTGTCTGTGACAACCGTAATTGAAATAGGTGTATGGTACGTTACAGTATACTCACTGTATATTTAGCAATTATACCATGAGCTCGAGTCGTATATGAGCTGATATAGCCGTCGCGGTGCGTAGCACCGAGTCAGCTATCAGCTAGCCATATACGACGAGAGCGAATGGTATAATTGCTTGTTTTATAATATAGTCTAATTCAAGTCTAATAGCCATTAACTGAAGCAATAATCAATTATCCTCTGTTACAATGTCTTGACAATTTGTTCGGCCAAAAACCGCTTGGCCTTGAAAATTTGAAATACTTTTGTTTTACAACTCGAAGACGAAGTGAAAGAAATGGTTTTAGAACTGTATATCTTGCAGAAAAGCTCAGATATATTATGCAGATGATTGCTAGTATAGCAAGTGCTTGTTGACTGCAAATTCATTTGTCTTTCGTTGTAAACTTTTCTGAACAATTTATATTCTCAATGAACATGTTTTTCGCTGTTGTTTCGATATTAATTCTTTAAAAAAACTTGTATTTAAACTAATTTCTATGTAATGAATGTATTTTGCTAACCTGTCAAAATTTTTTGAGAGTTTTTCCTTGTACTATTATCTTTCTCAAAGCGAATATTTTCCTTTTTTCTGCTTCGCAAAACTCATGTAGTTTTTGGAGCGCCATCTTGTTTTTCGCTATTCGCCGTATATATGAGGTGATATACGGCGAGTAATTCAACCAATCATATTGCAGAACAGCTCATATACGGTGAATGACTATATTATAAATACATATATATTCAATTTGCACTTTGTTCTGCTGTATGGGTTTTTGTCCATAAAATAATTCAGTTGATGCAAATGATGGCACATATATGTTTGAGGGTCAGGAGAGTGTGGACATACTGCAATTAGTTGTGCCAACTGTAAGAAAACTGAGTTCAACAAAATTCACATTTGTGATGAATTGTATATTCATTTCGTACAAGGTTAAGAATATATTACAGATTTAATCAGGTATTAAAAACATCTAAACTGCACTCAACATGCATGTGCATAAACATTGTGTTTTGCCGCATACACTACAGCATAAATTGATCTGCAAATGTCCTCCAAGGCATCAATATCTTGCCTATATGATATCTGAATGTCTTTTCGTAAAAGATGTTCTTTCCGTCAGAATTTGCAACCAATTCAAAGCAATTATGCAAGCCGAGTGATTTTTATGTGCCTTTGGTGAAGTTTATTTGCTGTAGCAGTCATAGCAATAACGACTTGTATAAGGAAATACAGCACACAATATACTAAGTTTAGCATAACCTCGTTTAAATCATCCCTCCTAAAACAAAATTAAGATAACAATGGATAATTGAGAAATAACATGCATGTAGGTCTTATCTTTTGTTCAAGTTCAGCTACATAGTAATCAATCTTTTCGTTGTCACATTTTAATGGCTGTTGAAAAACATTTATTGATGATACTCTGAGTTTTATAGCGCATAATTTTCGAACTGGATTGTTTATCAAAGCGCGCGCTCGCCATATACTGTAACGAGCAGCACAGAGGTCACGTCATTTACTCATTTACACAAAGGTCCTGAGTTGGACGTTCTTTTACCGCTCTTTTAGCGAAAAGCATCAAAAGCAAAAGCTGGTAAATCAGCGACTCGCTATAACCGGTTGGAAAATTGCGACTATATGCACGCTAAAGACTAAGGACAGCTTTTCGAATATATCACATTTCAACAGTCCTCCCCTAGGATCTTCTGTTGATCTAGTTTTTAGGAGTTCACGTGACTAGAGGGAACCAGAGTCTTTGCTGTAGCGCCGTGCGTAAGTAAAAGTCCCTGTCTTGCACTGGTAGGTTTCAGTACGCGTTACAGCAGCGAGCCGATTGTGGCCCTACAACTTACTGCTGACGCTTATAGGAGAAAAATATAATTAAAATATATCTCTTATGTTTTTATTGTCCCAGCGACGTAACGCTCCGTGGAGCGTATTGTTCTATTTATTTTCCACCAAACATAAGATTACCATGCATATATCGTGAAAAGAATAAATATGATTTTCGCACTCTGATAACTGCAGATTGACCACCATCTGCTCCGCACGGAAGCGCACCGACTATCAAAACTAGTCTTTGAAATAATTAAAGTGTTTCATTTTCGAAATAAAGTGGTCGTAGTTTCGACTTTGTTTCATTTTGAAATATATTACTTTTATTGTCTTTTTAAAGGTACAAGCTTGTTGTTGTTGTTTCTTTTTTCTAATCAGTGATAGGCCTATATTATATTGTTCATTTCAGTTTCTGATGATGCGAAATGCTTTCCTAAAAGCAACACTCACACTGGTGGAAGTAGTACTCCACTCCGGATAATCTATATCGTTGCTGCATTGATATTTGTTGCCTTATTGTTTGGTATTTAAAGGCGGAGAGCAATGAACAAGGCAAATATTTCCCAAAGGTGGGCAAAGCAGTAAATAAACAATGTTTCCAAGGCAAATATTTCCCAAAGGTGGGCAAAGCAGTAAATAAACAATGTTTCCAAGGCAAATATTTCCCAAAGGTGGGCAAAGCAGTAAATAAACAATGTTTCCAAGGCAAATATTTCCCAAAGGTGGGCAAAGCAGTAAATAAACAATGTTTCCAAGGCAAATATTTCCCAAAGGTGGGCAAAGCAGTAAATAAACAATGTTTCCAAGGCAAATATTTCCCAAAGGTGGGCAAAGCAGTAAATAAACAATGTTTCCAAGGCAAATATTTCCCAAAGGTGGGCAAAGCAGTAAATAAACAATGTTTCCAAGGCAAATATTTCCCAAAGGTGGGCAAAGCAGTAAATAAACAATGTTTCCAAGGCAAATATTTCCCAAAGGTGGGCAAAGCAGTAAATAAACAATGTTTCCCGGCAAATATTTCCCAAAGCTTGGCAGAGCAGGAAACATTGTTTCCTGCATGGAAATTATTTCTCGAAGGTGGGTAGAGCAGGAAACAGTGTTTCCTGGCCATGTTTCCTAAAGGTGCGTATAACCAGGAAGTTTATTTGTTTCTCAGTAAATATTTTGGCAGTCTTTCCCAATTTTCCAAAAAGCGATTATTAAACACGGCACACTTGATTATTATCGTAAAAAGAACCCAAAACCAAGTCATGGTCTAGATTCCAGACCACTCTAGATGATAAAAGTATTTGATTTATTTGTTAGAGGAACAGCAGTGCACCTGTACATTTTAATCCTGGTGATAACACGGTCAGACTTGACACGACGTATCAGACTCCAGTTGATGTCAGAAATCAGAGTTTTTGGTCTCACAGTGGACCGTACGCGATGAATCCCCTCGAGAACCCTTCTGTGGTGGAGAAACGTATGAAGGTAGGCAAAACATTCGTCAAATCTAAACGTTTCATTAAATTAAGCAGCGGATGGTGGACGGAGTTCAGAAATACTGAAACTGATCTACCGTGGTATATGTCCTCTGTTTTCTTTCAATAAATCATAAAAAGTTACAGTAGATAAATCAGAAAGTTAGGTTGTGATAAATCTATTAATAGTCGATAATGTAATGTTCTCTATATGTTCAGGTGTGCCTCGATCCAGCCTTCGCTAACCCAGCCTACAGTAACAACGATTGCATGACAGGCGAGACTAGTACAAGTTCCCAAAGGACCGTGAATCACTACGAGACAATATGCCCGGTTGGGGTCTATGAACGCATCGACGACGGACTGCATGGGAGAGTACAGGATGCAGGAGCACGACTCAAAAGAAACGGACACGAAACATGAGAATAAAACACGACGAAATGAAGATGGAGTGAGATGAGAATAGCAACCATAGTTCTTGCTGAAACATTTTAAATTAAAGTCAGAATTTGCACGCTGCACAATAAAAACAGAACTTTCTTTCCTAGCTTTTTAGAAAGTTTTTTTACTGAAATATTTTTTTGGCAGGAAGACATAACGTAAAAACAAGTAACTAAACATTATATAACATATATCACTCCAGTTAAATATTGTAAGTTTCTCCGCATGCAGAATAGACAAATCGAAGCTATACTTAAATTTGCCCGGTTGTGTCCTTCTGTGCACAGCTTTAGAGTAAAGTCTTGGCTTATGAGCTGGTGAATATTAATTATCACTAAGAATTTTAGGGCAGTGCACTTAGGCTGTAACATGCACCTAGTTTGTAAAAAATCTCATACTCATCAGTAATCACTGTCAGTAGTTCATAAAATTCGTTAACATATAAATCGTAATTAAAATCTTGTCAATATATCCAAATCTTGGATCGTGACTAAAACACCACACGAGTACATACGAGTAACATACGAGTAACACACAAGTACATACGAGTACATACGAGTAACACACGAGTAACATACAAGTACACACGAGTAACATACGAGTACACACGAGTGACGTACGAGTAAATACGAGTACATACGAGTAAAATACGAGTACATACGAGTAAAATACGAGAATTAGCAAGCTTTCTTTAAAGTTTCTTCCACTTTCACACTTTCACTTTGGCTTCGTATTATGTTTGTGTTGTAAATACCTTATTGACATAGGCGTACGAGACAGCGAGGGGGGGGGGGGGCAATGGCCCCCCAAAATTTTGGAAAACCATCGAAATTCGGGCAAACGCTAGGAAAAATCAAGAAAATTTGGGCAGATTTATGAGAAAATGTGTTAAAATCAGGTTATTTCCATCAATACGCAATATGCATAGGAGAGAAATCCATCAATACGCATGCATAGGAGAACGGGGCTGATGTTTTTTTTTTGGGGGGGGGGGCAGTTGAAAGTTTGCCCCAATTTTTATGAATTGTAAAGAAATAACCTGATTTTAACATATTTTCTCATAAATCTGCCGGAAGTTTCTTTATTTTTCCTAGCGTTTGCCCGAATTTCCATGGTTTTCCAAAATTTGGGGGGGCCATTGCCACCCCCCCCCCCTCGCTGTCTCGTACGCCTATGTCAATAAGGTATTTACAACATGAACATAATACGAAACCAAAGTGAAAGTGTGAAAGTGAAAGAAACTTTAAAGAAAGCTTGCTAATTCTCGTATTTTCCCCCCCCCCCTCGCTGTCTCGTACGCCTATGTCAATAAGGTATTTACAACATGAACATAATACGAAACCAAAGTGAAAGTGTGAAAGTGAAAGAAACTTTAAAGAAAGCTTGCTAATTCTCGTATTTTACTCGTATGTACTCGTATTTTACTCGTATGTACTCGTATTTACTCGTATTTTACTCGTGTGTACTCGTATTTTACTCGTATGTACTCGTATTTTACTCGTGTGTACTCGTATTTACTCGTATGTCTACTCGTATGTACTCGTATGTACTTGTGTGTTACTCGTGTGTTACTCGTATGTACTCGTATGTTACTCGTATGTACTCGTATGTTGGTGTTTTAGTCACGATCCCAAATCTTGCACAAATATGTAACTAACAGTTTTAAAATATACCAATCGCTATATATACTGCGAAATGTAAGAACGATTTTAACATGTAGAATTTTAAGATAAAGTCATTTATATGTTCGGTAACGAACAGGTTTTATCATAGCTTCGCGAACAATAAAACACAATAAAACTAAACAATAAATTTGCTAAAGAGTGACTCATATTAAATAATGCTGATATTTTTTGTTTACGCAAGTCAATCATGCACAAGACATGATTATTTAGGTTAGTATATAATTACCCGCGTTTTTAACTGCTGATATTTTGGTGGTGACGCTATTATATACGCAAAGAGCTGTTTTAAGTTGCGTATATATTTATCAGAAACCGCGTTTTTGACATGAGTCGACTTTTCATGCAGGTTTAGAAACACCGCATGAAGCTTGCGCTATTTAGATTACCAAGCCTGCAAGATTATATACAGACTTTTAATAATCGCTATTACGTTTTGAAAATATTTCCGTGCGTATAATCTAAACCACTTCATTTATGAAATAGGCAATTTAAAGCGCAGAAGTGTATGATTGCATGCCACAAAAATGATAAATTGTGTTTTGCGCAGTAATTCACTTGCGCAATTCAACTAAATTGTATACTACTAATTAATAAGAAGTATTACTTTACAGTCAAACCGGATTTTCTCTTGCGAGCAACATTGCAATAGTATACAATGCAAACAAAATCCCACATTGCAATTTAGATAGGCAAATTGCTTTGAGTAAATTGAAACCGACACGAACAAATTGCAAGTTGGAAATTCACAAAAGATTTGTAAACAAAGCCTCTGATTGGATTATAAGAAGGAGGGAAGCCAATCAAATAGTCTGAGCAACTGGATTGGTGCTTCCCCCTTTCTTATAGTCCAATAAGAGGCCGGCTTTGTTTACAAATATTTTGTGAACTTCAAATTGCAGTTTGTTCGCGTCGGTTGCAAATTGTGAGATACGGAAAAAAAACAGTGAGATATTTTCCATATCTGCACTATAGTGAAGATATCAATCACGTGATTTTTTCCAATTTGCTTTTGAGCGTGAAATTTCACATTTTTTCTTGGGATTATATAATAAACAGAACATTACACGGGGGCTTGAAGATATGACTTTTATCTTCTCATGTTAAAAACAATATTTTACTCACTTGCTGCGCTCGTTCGTAAAATATTGTTTTCACCACTCGAAGGTAAAAGTCATATCTTCGCGCCGCCGTGTAATATCCTCATTAGAGAGTTTGGCAAATACAAGGGCAACGGCAACGGCAACATGGTCATCAACAATAGCATTGATCCTCAAAGACAAAGGCGAATGTAAATTACATGGTCTTAAGCGTTGTGCAATGCCGTAGTTCTTGAAACTGGTACGTGATTTGCATCATTTTCACGGTGCATGACTACGGCAACAGTTAATTCGTTCGATGTTATTTGAGGTGTTTTATTTGAATTCGCGGACTATTTTTACTTCAGGGCTGCCTTAGAGAAGCAATGTTACTTAAAGAGGCAAATTATGTGTAGTATTAAACTTATACTTCGGCTCAAATACAATAATATAAGAAATTGTGTTTTCCCCGTTGCCGTTCTAGGTTGCCAAACTCTCTAATATACATACAGTGGAGTCAGGGCCGTCGCGAACAGATCTAAGGTAGGTGGCGGGGTGGGGTGGAGGGGGGGGGGGTCAGGGTGGAGGTAGTGTATTGTATTTCCCAACAAAACTAAAATTCGGCGACCATCTTTGTACATATTCCGAAGTATATGTTGACTGGGGGAGGGGGGGGGGGGGAAGTGAAATTTTCTTAGCCGAAAGATGTAGAAATCGTCGACAAATTCTTAATTTCGTGGCAACTTATTTTCAGGGGGGTGTCACACCCACAACATCCCCACAGGTATGTTTTTACATTTGTTATTGACATTTAATAGATCTGGTAGATTTTAATAATCGAGTGTTCTCTTTTTCTTGCTGTTTTTGGATGCTGCGATCTTGTACTCAGAGCATGTCAGTTCGCAAGTTGAGAGACCGGCACAGCTCTGGAGAAACGATTACTTGACACGATAAATCGAGTAAGGACAAGGTTCATCGTAAATTCTTGAATGAAAGTATGAAACATGTAATCAGGAACATTTTATAATAATAATAATAATAAAAAAATAATAAAAATCTTTATTTTGGTAATCCTTAGACACAACAGACGTGTGTCTTTACATGATTTTAGTTACAATTTTAAAATATACTATTTACTATATTTACAATATTAATGTAATAGTTTAAGATAATTTATACGCATGCAACAAAAACTAAAAATAATCAAACAGACACCTATTTACAAAGGAACGCTTAAATCTTTCAGTTCTGACTTGAGGTAGGATGAAAGGATGATTTCGTTTTCTTAAATTTTTTTGTCTTTTTTCAGGCAGTAGTTCATATAAAATATGTTCTGGATTATCTAAAATCCTATTGAATAGAATTCTGTCTCTCGTTTCAATCAGCTCAGACATTTTATACTCTTTCAGTATATAACCATATCGATACGCTCGCTTAAAAAACTTGTCAATGCGTTCTAAATATTTCTTTTGAAGAGCTGAGCCCCAAATTTCAATACCGTATAAAAACAACGATAGTATTATTGAGTCAAAAAGATAGCTGAGATGTTCCTTCCGATATCCATACCTTCTACATACTCTTAAAATATACATTCGGCTTCCAGCCTTCGACAACAAGCCATTAACATGCAGGTCCCAGCAGCACACATCGTCCTCGAAAGTAACACCTAGCAGTTTTAGCCATTCCTTGCGTTCAATACCTTCTATAGGCGCTGGTGGCGGCTTAGATGTTCCGCCACTCAGAAGCATCTCCCATGTTTTTGTTAGATTTAGAGTCATTCTGTTTTTCCTTGCCCAGTTCTCGATGTTCCTCACTTCCATTGTTGCAGAATCACTATTTGACTTTACTGGTGCACTAACTGTCATGTCATCAGCAAATTTAACCAATACATTAGTTTCAGGTTGTTTGGGTTTAATGTCATCAACCATAAGAGAAAATAGAAACGGGCCAATGACGGTTCCCTGTGGCACTCCCTTGTTAATATCTACATATCTTGTTATAATTCCGTCCACCACGACCCTTTGTTTTCGATTCGTCAGAAAACTTATAATCCAATTGATAATATAAGGATTTAGGTTTGTTTGTTTAAGTTTTCCAGTTACGATATCATGCGGGACCGAGTCAGAGGCTTTTCTAAAATCAAAAGATAAAACCCTTACAAACTCGGCATCTTCGTCCAACCATTTCAGCCAATGATGGTGACATTTAATAAGGGCTGACGTTGTATTTGTTCCTTTTTTATAGGCAAACTGATCATGGCCAATAATTAACTTAGAGTGTTCTAAAATCTCTTCCCTAAAAACAATTTTCTCAAAAAGTCTCATGATGATATTAGTCAATGATATGGGTCTTAGCTGGCTGCAGTCTGATAATGTTGACGCTTTTTGTATTGGGCTAATATTTGCGAGTTTCCAAAGCGAGGGAACGTGCTGTTCATGCAAGGAAAGATTTAATACTTTAGTAAGTACAGGTGCAAGATAGTGAGCGTAGTCTTTCCACAGCCAGTATGGAAGTCCATCAGGGCCTGGTGAAGTTCGTTTTTGTTTTATCATGAACGTTTCAACTGTTTGTATATCAACCTTCGGGATTCGAATTTCTTGGGAGATTGTTAAGGGTTGTGGTGGTGTATACTGAGTGTCCGTATTTACGCTTTGAAAATAGGTGTTAATAATATTTGGATCGATGGAGGAACTAATGTTATGGGATTTTATACTTCTGCCCGTGATTTTACTGACAGTATTCCACCAACCTTTCGCCCCTTGTTTATACTTTTTATTATCATTCGACATAGCACGAATTTGATTATCTCGAATAAGTTTATTTATTCTTTCCTGAAGTTCAGTGTTGGCTCCTTTACTTATTTGTTTGTTTCGTATTTTACATAACTGTTTCACTAATGGGGACATATAAGGTGGGTCACGTGAGGAGGTTTTAATCTTGATTAGAGGAAAACTCTCGTTGAACATTAAAACAATTTCTTGGTTCAGGAGCAACACTGCTTCCTCAGCATCATTAGCACTATTGACTTTACTCCAGTCGAAAACTTTTAATTTGTTCTCCATAACAATCTTTCGGTGGTGCCTAACATCTCTAAAGTAGACATGTTTTCGTTCGGGTCTAGCTTGGAGCCTTGGTGTTACCATAACCGCCAAATGATCGGACCTAACTAGACCTTTGAATACAGTGGGTTGTTTCCACAAGTGAGGGCAATTCGTCAAAAACACGTCCAATATTCTAGGACCTCTGGTAGACTTTTTGACCAGTTGTTTTAGGTTATGTTGGTTACAAAGATCTTGTATCCTTAGTTGGTTTATGTCACCAGCGATAATTAACCTAGCGTTAGGTTCGGTGAATAAAATCTGCTCGCAACTGTCCGACAAATGATGTAGAAATTCGGATTCAGAGTACTCTGGGTCTGGTGGGTAATAAACTGCTCCAATGTGATATTTGCTATTTTTTGTCTGAATTTCGCACCACAAGCATTCGAAGTTATTTTGCAAAGCAAGTTTTTTAACTTTCCAATCACTTCGGCAAATAATTGCAACACCACCACCATGTCGACACGCACTGCGATCTTTTCTCACAAAAGTATAACCGCTAGGACAAATAAGACTGGACTGTATTTTCTCTGTGCCACGTCTCAGATATTATGCAAATGTCAACATCGTTTGTACTCAATTCAGCATTAAGTGCCGACGCAGCATCTGGTTTGGCCAGTGATCTAGCGTTAATTACCAAACATTTAGGTATAATCTTGGAGACGGGGGGGCCTGGTTTTAAAATTCTCACTTGTATCAAGTTGGTGTTACGCTTACGCCTATCACCCCTCTTATTTGTAATTAGCGCATTCCGCATCGATCTGCCGAGGTTTTTGCTCCTTTTTTATGCTGAGGTTTTAGCTCCTTTACCATCAAACACTCAAGAAAAATGCGAAAAAGCACGAAACAATCAACCCCACTGAGATATTACAAACTACCACTCATAAATCCACCTGCTTCAACCATACTGTTATATTATGGAACCTTCTTTGTAATTCAACTCTACGTATAGTCCTTCCTAATCCAAAATCATTTAAGAGACACGTAAAAACAATGTACACTAACAATACGATAAACAAAATGAAAAAAGTTAAATATATATTTTCAATTGTGACATAATTAACTGTCAGACGCAGTAAAATGTGTTCAATTCAAATTTTTGAACCAGATCAATGTTTTTGAGTAACATGCTACATTGTTGGTTTCAAACATGACATCAGGAACAATTTCAATAATATTACTGATATCTAATGATAACTTGAAACAAATAACAAGTTTTGTGGGGTCCAACGTGCACTTAATGGAATTTTGGGCCTGCACAAATTTGACAATGACGTAGCCAGGATTTCTAGTCAAGGGGGGCGGGGCAATTTTACACTGCGCTAGCTCGAATATAGTTTGTTTATCATGTGAAAATGTATTTGGACTTACACGCTATCCATGCAGCATACAATATAGTACAATTTAGAGTAGATATATATAAAATGCCATTTTCAAAATTTTGAAAAATGAACACTTGTTAATTTTTCAAAGACTTCAACTAGTTACACTCACCCTTGGGACTCGTGCAATTTTATTATCTTTGAAAGATGATAATATTGTAGCCTTTTGAGTAGCTCACTTGTGCTGCATGTTTCTTTTAAATTGTCCTCGGAACCACAACAATAATATACCGTATCGAAGAGATGATTGTTTACAATTTAGACAGTATTGTAAAAAATGCTCAAGCAAAACCAACGATATGGCTATTTAAAGAGTTCATACTCAACATCACTGATGCATGGTTTCATGAAGAGATTATTTTAGCAGCCAAGATAAAAACATTAATTGATTTTACCAGAAAAATTTTAATAATATCAGTGTCATGTCTTAATTAGAATAAACAAATCTGGGACATATAACTATTGGATATTCCTCTGGAACATCCTGTATAAGAATGGGACAATCGGTGGTATAAGAATGCAGATCAAAAGCTTTTGGAAATAATTAAAGTGCTTAGTGTTTCCACAAAATAAAACAAACCAATTATATTCATTTTCATCATGCAAACATAGTACAAATAACAGTTAATACTAAAATAATTAAGAGACACTGAACTATGCAACAAATCAACTTTATTACTTAAACAAAGACAAGATTTTACACCAATGAATTAAACTAGATTTAACCCAATCTCAAAAATCGTAATTGTTTGATCAGTTGCTCTATCTCTATGTTCTGTTTTAGATTAAATATGTGAAATCAATATCTGAAAGGCTTTCAGTGAATTTGTATAATCATGCATGATAAGTAAATTTATAATCAATAATATGAAGCAATAAGGTTATATTGAACAAGCGAAAAGTGTAATAAGAAACATATATGAAAACTACAAAAAACGTTTACCCAAATTTTCAAAAAAAAAATCAACGGAAAGTACTTGTAACAATAACTTGTAATAATCAAACAGCACGCAAGTCATAGCACGTTTCAACTGCCGCATATGAGGTGTAAGATATTTATGTTGAGCTGCCTATTAGAAATAAACTACATTATCAATCGTTTTCACATGACACTAGAGAGGTTAAGATACCCCAGTTTCGGTGTACGTGTACGGGTAGCATGATTTTGGTTAGCAATATTTTCGTCGATGTCTGTACCTTCACTCTTAATTAAGGTGCACATTTTTCGCATTATATCATTATCCTTTGCAAGAAAACAGAAAAAATATGATCGAATTACAGACATTAGTAAAACAAGATGGCACTGCTCGTGCCCATACACCGAAACCGGGGTATCTTAACCTCTCAACTATTTGTATTTGTTTTGATCGAATTTATAACACTCGATATTTTCCATATATGCCTCACAGTTTAAAACATGCATGGATGACTTGCATGTCGTTTCATCAGATTTAAGATTCGATTGTAGAGAAATTCAAATGACTATAGTAAGTTACATTGTCAAACTATCTTGGTTTATTTCTTTCTTGAGATATTCAAGAATGTTCGATACGCAAATTCTCGTAACTAAAGGCGCAATTCCAGCCCTCGCACGAAACTCCTCGCAGCTCGCTGCGAATGCTTGCATCTAATTAATATTAACTCTTAAGCATTGTGATTGGATGAAAGTGCTCATGCATCACTCGCAGCGAGCTGCGAGGAGCTTCGTGCGAGGACTGGAAATCCGCCTTAAGGCTTTGTGAAATTTGAATTATAACTCTTCAAGATAACTGATTCGAATCAGTTGACATATAGTATATATTTATAACATGTTGACAAAACACAAGGTTGCATGGTTGCAGGGGTTTTTTTGGGTTTTTTTTTTTTTGGGGGGGGGGAAGTTGTTATGCAATGTGACGTCATAATGAGGATAGTTAGCATATTAATCATAAGCCGGTTTTCCACTATTAAGAAAAGAAATTTCGTGGCACCCTCCTGGGGAATAGATTATCTGTGTTTAAATACATCGTAGGCTGCCATATATGCTAAATTTCCACAAAAAGCGAAAAACCTGTCCAATACCGAGAAAATGAGTGATCAGTGATTATATTCTATTATTATATGGCAAGCATCACTCCGGGTAAAATGGCGGACTGTGATTGGCTGAGAAGCACTTTCAGTGGTCCATTATTTTCCCGAATTAATCGACCAAACAGCAAAACTAATTGATATCTGCGAATGGTTTTTAGTGGAAAAGAAGGAATACATTGGTATTATTTGTTTTCTTCGACCAAATGTGAATCACACTACTAGTATGCATTTCAAATCATGCATTTCGTGTTTGTTTCAAGTATAAATTCCTATTTAAATGTCACATAATAAACTTTTTATTAACCTTGCTTGCTCGGTATGTATAGAGAAATATCGGACCTCGGTCTTTTCGTACAAACCTCGCCCCACGGGCACGGTCTGTACAAAAAATACTTCGGTCCAATACTTCTCTGTACAGACCTCGCGGTTAATAAGAAGTTATTAAATTGTATTACAGTAAGAAAATGTGAAATTTTAATTTCATTTACAACAAAAATGACTTGCATTATCAGAAATCGTACCAAAACCTACATATAAGACATATAAACAGTTTTTTATATCTCAAATTGTTTTCGAGCTGTACGCAGTGGCTGTACGCTGTCAAAAATGCTTGTTTGACCTAGTATCCAGTCCTAATTGGGACAATTTTGGTCAATTTCCACATTTAAAAGAACAATAGTTCAAAAACTATTTGAAGAAGCAAAAATAAAATTATAAAGATCTTATCATACGGTTTTTTGTATACGTCTTCCGATGATGCAAGTCATTTTTATTGTAATTGAAAACAAATTTCCCATTTTTTTGCTGTAATACAATTTAATAGAGGATAGTCATTGATCACCCATTTTCTCGGTATTGTGCAAGATTTTTTGCTTGGGAATTCGACCTTTTTTTGGTAATAATATGCCTATATGCCTTTCAAATAAACCACTAACCAAGTAATTCACCACGAAGCGAAATAATTTTGATCCAAGGCCTATATGCGGAATTGTGTGCGCGGAGCGGATTTGCTTTTTGGCTTTTCTAATTAATTCCACTTGAAAAATCAAAGACCAAGAAAAATTCTGTGTAGTGGAAAACCGGCTTAAGATAGTTTGGGAAAGTGATTTATTCTGTCAATTTTCTTCACAACGCAATCATAAAAAATGGCGTAAAATTTCGTTGCATGGGCCCTTTCAATTTAGTTTGAGAAGTAAAAATATTTAGTGCACCGAATATATGTTGAGATAAGTTCTAGACAATATGGAAAACTTCAATTTCTGACGGTTGAAAGTTGTAGGTTCCTGCTAGGATGGTGTTTGTGTCGCTGACACTAGATGGAGCTTGGTAGTTGTGACTAAAACGTGTGTATGAATCGGTATTCGAAGCTGCATTATCAGATATGCGTATATCATTACCTGTTCAAAATGTTGGTCCAAAACGATTGTCTGTGAAAATTGCGCTCAGAGTATTTTGATCTTTCAGTGGGGCTTTAAAAGGCGACACATTTTCGTTGTTACGAAAAGAGAATATGAAGGATCTAGGAGCTTGTTTCCAGCCACTACCTGTTATAACGTAATTAAAAATATATATATATATTTTGACATATTTATCCAGATTTGTATTGAATATCGGCACACTAGTGTTGCAGTCGCAGACGAGTTTGAAAAATTTCAATTGTTCATGCGTATGTTGCATTTTAGCCGGCCGCACACAATAGCATTTGGCTGAGCTAGCCTTCACGCGTGCCGGTTACATAGAAATATTAGTCTTAAAATGCGTGCTTGGTCACGTGACCGCTGTGTCCAAATTGAAGACAAAAATGCCCTTACAAATCCGCCATATTGAATTTGAGTAGGAGTGCAAACTACAAAGTATAAACAAAGCAAAATCTACATTTACATCGTTTGCATTTGTGGATAGATTTTAAAATATTAATTAAGTAATTCTTTGAAGGCTCATAGGAAATGTGCATGCAGTTAATACAAAAATGGTGAAAATCGTGTGCCGCCTTGTAAGAACAAAGGAGTTTCGCGTAAATATAATTTACTCATAAAACATTTTGGCATTCTCTGAACGTAACTGGTTTGCTAATATCCTATGAAATTACAAAATGCATGATAGTTCATTCTTCGTCGGTTTCGTTTTTCTTCAATCTAAACTTAGTGTTTTCATGTTTTTGAAACAAAAGTATTCAGTTGTCAATATTATAAAGCTGTAGTGTAACTGTCGCTTAAATAATTGTCGAATTAAAACTATATGGTTTCAAAACCGTTGCCTTTAGCTCATACAACGTAGAAAAATATACTGTAGTTGTGCAAATTTAAAAAGATTATATTGAACTCCATTTATATTATAAGACAGTTGAAATATTTTTGGAACATATCTGTTAAGTTTGAGTTTGTCTCGATTTTTCGTCAGTGTTTTGTTTTGGCAACGACGATTTCTGTATATATTCTGTTCAGAACTATTGCTTTTCGTAAAGAAACACATTGGAATAAAAAAAACTTTTTTCCACTTTAAGTCTCGATATAATTGTGTTTGCGATATGATTGCTTTGTTGACAAAAACAATTTGCTGTCATTTGCACTCCCTGCAACCGCGCGAAATTTCTTGCCGCAGGAGTATGGAACTAGCCAAATGCCATTATAAATCCGCCATTTTGTGGAAAAACCGTATGTTGTCACGTGTGGCGATTAGATCAGCCAAAAGCTCTTGTTTGCGGGAGGTTTTATCCAGTATCTTTCATTTAAATAATTTGTCACAACCACTCATGAGTGTGGTAAAATGAGAGAACTGATTACGTTTCACGGAAAATAGATCCGTAATTTTACGATTCACGAAGTAAAACGTCCGTTTCACGGAAAATTAGTAAGACGCTGTTGGTTAAATGTCTATTTCGCTTATATACCCACCAACCTGCGTATACTATAGGTATATTGTACAGTTTATGAACTTCAGTGGGAGCAAGATCAAGAAATGTCCATTAGTTTGCTAATTTTCGCCTTTTTCTCTACTGATAAATGAAATGCTCTTTATCAACATATTTTAATCACCTATCACGGGATATTGGTTTTTAAATCTCGTTTCACGTAAAATAAATAAAGGATTTCACCCTTCACGAGAAATAATTAAATATCAATTCACTGAAAATACTGGAGGTTTCACGTTTCTCTAAAAATACTTATTGTTCGTTCTGCACGTATAGGTCCAAAATCTTAGATTTAATATGTCCCATTGTTTTCGAGTGTTTGAATATATCCCGGTGAGATACGAGCTTGAGTTATTTATATGGCTTCTCAAATGAATCGAGACGTAAAAGAATGTTTTCGTTTGCTGATTTGAATAGAATTCAGAATTCTTAACGAAGCATAACGTAATTAGGAATTCTATTCAAGTAATTTTGCATTAGGCGTAATTAAGATATTTGATGAAAACACTAGTGACTTTCGTCAAGTATCCAAATGGCACCTTGTGATCAAATAAGTGATTATCATTGGCTGAATTGCTCTTGAATTATTAATGAATTTGAGAAGTAATACACTGTTAATTTCGAGGAGTCAAATTGACTCCAAAAGTGGAGTAAATAAAAAAGGTACAGAACGACTCCTTTTTTGGAGTAAATTTTACTCCTTTATTTACTCCATTTTTGGAGTAAATTTTACTCCATAAGTAGAGTTGTTTTTACTCCTCAAAGAGTAAAAACAACTCTACTTAAGGAGTAAAATTTACACCAAAAATGGAGTAAATAAAGGAGTAAAATTTACTCCAAAAAAGGAGTCGTTCTGTACCTTTTTTATTTACTCCACTTTTGGAGTCAATTCGACTCCTTTGGAGACAAAATGACTTCTATATATCGGAGTAAAGAAAAGTCTTTAACTAACTTTAGAAATCAATAAAGACATTTTTCGAGTCAAAATAATTTATTATCTCTGCAAGTAAGGTATATTATAGCAGGAAATACAATTTGCTGTAGCATAATATAATGATATACTCGTATATGACCTATAATATTTTTTAATGAAGTTCTAAAATGAAATTTTGATTAGAATGATATCATGAATACATGTGGAATACAATTACAAGCCTGTCAGCATGAATTGAACCTGCAGCCCTGCAATTCTACCGCAGCCCTCTGACCTAAAGAGCCCTTTTGCCAAGAGGTATTAAACCACAAGTTGCCGTATATATAAGTGTACCATGGTGGTGTCATTGGTAGTGTATTAAATAAACTGCCCAGGATGACACTAGTATTATATACATGAACTCTTGGTTACAGTAGAGCTTTCAGATTGACTCTCAGGTCGATGGACTCTTAGGGCTTGAGGACCCTTGACGGTTAAAAAGCTGATCAGAATCACAGGGCAGCAGGTTCCATTCCCAGCACAGTATTATATAGTTATCGTTCAAAAAATTTACATTTACAGAAAAGCTTTAACCCATTAAGTAGCAGCACTCTCTCCTTAATGAGCAAAAATTGTCTGACCACATTAGACAGAAAAAGTAAAAAAGTAAAGCAAATTGCCACTTAAAGGGTTAATATTCTGTTCAATGTAGAATATTTACAAGTAAAATATACTGCATGTATAATGTATGTAGTCTCACTGCTCAATCAAACATGTCAAGCAAGTCCGTTAGTAAAAATTTAGTACAAAACAAGCTGTATACCACAAGTCGGCAACTCCATCCCTTGCATGGTTTTGTAATTCACAAAAATGCTCTCCAGCAAAAGAATAACATTTTCCAAATAGACCATGAAGTTCTTAGAATGCCATTAATGATTACATATAATACCACTTGTTTAGACAACTTGCCTTCTCCTGGGAAGCTTTTGTTAAATCCATATATTAATGACAATCCCTAGTAAGAAAAAGATATATAAGGTTGATATATAACAGCAGCAAATT